CATGCTTTTACGAATTGGAATCTCAACTAATAAAGAAAGATATAGCTAATGAATTTAAACTAAATACAAAAGATTGATGCTCCAAAACCAGAATAAAGCATATGCATATGTACATACCTGGCCCAGTAGGTAAAGTTGAATCAGTAGATGAGGTAGCTCTGCTACTTGAACCATCTAAACATATTAATGTGCAATGTGTCATTTATCATGGTATGTGTATGGTCTAATGTACCTTCTTCCATTTTAACTTTTATAAATTCCTCATTGCTAGGAAAACACTTATCTAAAAAATTCAATCATTATAATATGCTGCACACAAATAGTAGAATATTTGAGTTGCAATTCCCCCAAAAATTCAATTAGAGAAAGAGAATTACACTCCTAAAAATTATGCTTTATATGGTAGTTACTATTTTAAAATACTATAAAAGCAGAATCCTTATCAATCATATTAGTCTATAGGTTAGTCTCGATACTGTATATCTATAAGTAATAGTTAATACATGGGGCGGTGTGTTCTATCTGATTTATCCGCACAAGCTTCCGGTTGAGTCGCTAAAATAGCGCACGAGGCCGAAGGCCGAGTGCGCTATTTTAGCGACGAGACCGGAAGCGAGTGCGGATAAATCAGATAGCACACGACGTCACATGTATTAATTGTTTTAGTGTATAGTTCCAGCAAAGATTGCACGTGCTCTGCTATCACTGATATCACATTGCTGCACATTAAATAAATGAGTGTGCTATTTATAATATCACACTGCGGTATTGGTGGGAGTGTTGTGTGGGTTTTATCACAACTGTTAGGCCTTTGATCTTTGCTGCAACTATACATTAAGTCTTCTTAATTAAAATGATGAATACTTACCATAGTCTGTGTGTATTGCTTCTCCTAGTGGTATATTACGAGAAAACTTGCAAAGAACAATAGCAAATGTTTGCAGGTTCTTATAATTCAACCGAATAACTTCTTTAAGTGCATCTAACAGTGCTTCACGTTGTTTAGGAATAAATGGACTACCTGATTCCACACTAGCCACTGCTTGTCTTACTAACACATGCTCTCCATACAGCATCCATGCTACACTGACTGGATCACAGAGAGACTGTGAGAGGTTATGGCAATGAGTATCAAAAATACAAGTAGCCATAGCATTACGTCCTATAGTTATAACATGAAATTACTACCAATACATTATAATAACTTACTCTCTTCATCTAACTTGTCAGCTACAGCAATTTCATCCATTGATCTAAGAGCATCTGACAGTGAGTCAAAGGTAGCTCCTCCTTTACTATTTACATTGTCTACTTTACGTAACCATTGGGAGAGACACTCAATGCATTGACTGGATGTTGTGCTGTTGTCATTTTTGATGATATCCAGTGTGTTCTTGTGTAGTCCTAGTCTCAGTCCCAGATCTTGCCATCTTGTTTCAGGATACCCTGACCTCTTTAACAAATCAATGACATCTACAAGTTGATCTAAAGAGAAGGGATTCTATTATACTATATATATATATGTTACTTCTTACCGACAGACAAAGGAGAAGAGAAAAACGATGAAAAATGACTGACTTTAGAATCAGCCATTTCCGCCCTAAAATCATACCACTGATGCCAGCCCTTCTCAACAAAAATAATTATAATTGTGGCTTTTTGTGCATGCCTTTTCAGTTTATCATGATGATAAATACACCTATTTTTACTATTTCAAAATTATTATTGATTAGAAATTTAAAATTTTAAATTAAAACATATAACTTCATGCAAATGCATTGCAACCAACTGGTTTCTTGGTTTAAAAAATGTCTGTGACGTGACTTGCAGAAAACACACCTCTAGATCCTTTGTACTCCCCACACCACCAATTTTCATATATCTTCTCAATATTAGTGATAACAGCTCCACGTTCAAATGAGAGCTCATCTGCTTCCCTTGCTTCAAAGTCATATAATGCATGTACTGTGACAAACTTTTTAATAGGTTTATATAAATGGTCATATACATGATCCTAAATAAAGAAGAAAATATGCACTTGAAAATTATTAATAAATTATTTTTTTTCGTGAGTATTCTCTAATACCAAGATTTTGCAACCAAGACACTACTGACAATTGATGGGGTAAGATGCACTGAAGACTTTAAGATGCATTTTGACTTAACCTGTTCCTTGTTTTGTGTTGCAGTTACTATAGCTTCATAATCTGCCGGAACATTACTAACACACAAGATAGAAACATACATGTAAAATGTCCAGTTAGAATTCCATTTATACTTGGTATCTTTGACATGACTTGCAGGAAACCAACCTCTAGATCCTTTATACTCCCCATACCACCAGCCTCCATCTACCTTCTCAACATTTGTGATAATGGCTCCTGGCTCAAATGAAACTAGGTCATCTGCTCTTTTTGCTTTAAAGCCATATAATGCAAACACTGTGACAGGCTTTTTAATAGACTCATATAAGGGAGAATACTATATGAGAAGAATATTCATATGTACATGAAGATGAAGTCTAACACAGGCTTACCTTTTGCTCTAGTATTTCTGCGTTGATGTGATGTGTAAGCACAGTGTTATCATAAACTGGATAAGATTTGTAACTGTATATCAATTCCACCAAGCTGTTGAAGGCTTTCGAATTTCCAAGTAAGAAGAATTGCTTACCATCTTCAATAATCCTGATGTGAAGTACTCTATTATTAGTTCTAAGTGAATGGAAAAATGAATAGAAACAATTACCGGTAAGTGTCTATTCTTGGTACAAATTATTGTACCATTATTTTTGCCTTTCTTGATATAAGCATGCAAAATATTATACCAATGTGGTTATCTCTCTCACCTCAAGCTAATAGCTAATGTCTTCTTTCCATCCTGAGATCCTTGACTAGATGGACGCACTAAGAAAGCACCATCAAGTGACACACTGTTTAACATATCCTCAGCTTCTATTTTAGAAACATTATTGAACCATGGTCTTGCTTTATAGTCATCCTTATAAAAGATCGAGTTGAAAAATGAGATACTATCATACTAAGACTTTACTCACCTCTTTAGGTACAGCAAAAGTGAGCACTTGATCAAAGTAATCAGTCTTTATTGGATATTGAAAATAATGCTTAATCAATCCAATTACTGAATCAAATAGGTTAAGATGATTCTTAACATGAAACTTTAGCTTCCCTTTTTCGATCTTCTGGAAAATCATCACATGATTATATATATGTTGATAACTGCAGTAAAAGAGCAAAAATTAAAATAAAAGAATGAGGCAGAATTTTAGAGTAAAAGAGCCTCATAAATTTAAACTCATAAATCTTATAAATCAAATTTGCAGAAATGATAATGGGCTGAAGCTATATCAAATCTACTCTATAAATATATGGGGAACAGAAAGGGATGAAAAAATTGCGTAACTTACATAAACGATATGGTATAAATTATTGGATTGCTTCCAGCTATTCTGACAAGAAAAGCACCTGAAACATTTTAAAAATCATCTAGCAACATTTCAGCATATTTTCTAGTTACTTCACCATGAAACCAACTGTGAAAAACAAGTAAAATAGAATACAAGCATTATATTTATCAGCATGTACAGAGGTGCCAGACACTGGTCATTATTCAAAAATTTCAAATATTAACCAAGCAAAGTACAATTTGGACCTATTATTGTATCATTATCTCCTTTTTAATTTGTGGTACATAATACATGTATGCAAACTTATCCTTTAAAACTGAAAATATCTTTTAAAATGAAAATATTCTTAAAATCAAACTGATATTCATAAATGGCCAATCAAATTATCTGTTGTTAGGACACTGAGGATAAAATTTATTCAAGGCTCTGGTAATAGTGAAATTGTTGATTTTAACTCTTAAACAAGTATTTACTTACGACTGATACAAGAGGAGTGTTTCAGCTAATAATATCTAAAAAATGATAGAGAAATAAAAGCGGGAAGAAAGGAGAAAACAATTAAAGAGATAAAATTTAATTAAAAAAAGAATTTCTAACTTCATTTTCAGTAATTGCTCCTATGATTTCCTTAACTTCCTCTTTTTCACATAATAATTTCACTTGACTGTGATAGCAAAAATTAAAAATCAGTAAAATATTTGCATTACTCACTTGGAAAGAATTTTATCAATAGCAACTAAAGGGAAGAAAAAGTAAAATTTACATCATTATTTTAATCTATTGGAATTATATTACAAGTTTACAACTTAGAGTTAAAAACTAACGTTTCATGGCATCCTTCTCTTCTCTTTTTATAAGTAACTGTACACTAGCTGATGATATTTGTTCTTGCAAATACTCTATTTCTCTCTTATTCTCTGCTAATGCTGCATTCTGATCCTGCAAATCTATTACAAGGCCTATAGTACACTGATAAATACAATGATTCAATACCAGATTTTTTTGCTGTTAAATATAATATCAATTCTTCTATCTCCATCCTCATTCCTCTTCTAATCCTGCTCAATGCTATTACACATTTTGATTATAATACTTTATCATTACTACTCTAACCTGAGCCAGTATTAGTTAACAGTAACATATGTTGAATGCAGTGCTTTTCCTTTACTTCTATTACACAATTCAATGATATAATCTTCTGTTTAATACTAACTTTGTAGTTTCTCTTCTAATCTCTTGTTTATCTCTTTTTCTTTCTTTACTTGTGAAGTAACAATAGCAAAACTTGTATCAATTGACTGTAGACCAGAATCAGGTGCTGTAAGTAGCTTCTCTTTCTTCTTTACCCTAACTGACTTTTCCTGTTAAAATTAGTCACTACTATAGCATACACATAATTAATTCTATTACTTGTAAGTCATAAGGATCTTCACTTATATCACCTTGATTGGCTTTAATCATATCTATATCTTCTTCCAGCAGTTGCTCCCTCTCCTAAATAATACAAGTAATGATTAGTATATAAAATGATTCACATACTTCTAATCTTTGTTTTTCCCATATTAAACAGCATCCAATGGTTATCTTCTTTAGGCCATTCTTTACTAATACATCAAGATTTTCAATTAGCCTTGTGATGAGAGCTCCAATGAGAGAGTGAGGGAAGGAGCAAGTGATCAGAATGGAGTATCCAGTATCAATGAACTTGATCTTAACAAATCTACCAGATGTCTTGGAAAGAATATCAGTAATATCTTTCAATTTCTTCTCATCAGGCCTCCAGTCAAACACATAGGTAGCTGTTTCACACTGAAGTGAAGGATTAGCTTCAAACTTCTCCTTCAAGCAGAGAGTGACAGATATAGACTGACAGAATTCTCTCAACTTCTCCTTATACTCTTCAATGTATCTCTCAGCTTCAGTGACTCTGAACTCCTCAACAACTGCAGAAATAAGACTGGTATCAATCAGAGAGCATTCTTTCTTCTCAATCACACGGAGGACACTAGCTACATCAGAGGATTTGTCTAGCTTCTCTTCAATATCACTGCTACAGCTTATGGTGAAGTCTATTAGTTCATCAAAATCAACTTGATGATTTCTGATAGCTTTACGAACATTATACATCATTCTGCCATGAGATATTCTTATTAATGAGAAATCTTCACTCATACTTTTACGAATTGCAATCTCAACTAATAAAGAAAGATACAGCTAATGAATTTAAACTAAATACAAAAGATTGATGCTCCAAAACCAGAATAAAGCATATGCATATGTACATACCTGGCCCAGTAGGTAAA